TATTTACGATTTATCTACTTAAATAAATTCTTAAAGAGAAGAAAATAGATTATATTTGGCGAAAATAAAGTAAATTTAAGAGGAGAAAAACACGAAAGTTGCGAGTCGATCCAATAATTATCAACGTTGCGGATCCTTGCAATTAAAGCTGAAATTAAAACTGAAATTAAAATTTTGGTGGAGCGAAACCGAAACTCTGTACTTCGTTATGAGATTCCTCGAACCTAATTCAACTGAATGGCCGGATGCGCTTGTTTTTTATACCTGAAATTTCAAATCTGAAATACCCCGCAGACGCTTCCTTCGCAAAAACGGCGGGTTTTCACGTTCGACCCAAATGATGAAATCGATCTCGAAGTTTCGCAATTCCGTCGAAATATCACGTTGTAGTCGTCGATATGGCCGAAAGCGCCATTCGATCGCTTTCGATTAGCAACGTCATGTGAGTCTCAATCAACAACTCGAGTTAACAGTTAGCTTCCTCGCTAACTGTTGGTACGTATGGACCAGTTTATTCCGAGCGCCCGACGAATGCATTTCCAGTGCGACGGTATAGTTGATGATATTCGCAATAAATCGAACTTGTCTGACGTCATGATAAAACTTTGCTGAATGATCAACAGACCTGAATTCGTCACCGTCATGACTATGTGTGTACTTGCATACGACCAACGGTGCGTCATCCTCGTGGCTGTTAACATTACTTAACATTAACATTACTTATGTAGAAAAAAAAAATAATTCAAATAAAATGTTTATTTGATCCAAATAAAAATCTGTTAAGAAATATCGGAGGAGTAATTATTTAGTAATTGGTATGTAATTGGAATAATTACTTGAATCTACTCCTTTTTTGTGTATATTAACTTCTGCTCAATTATTTAATCTCAATCATTTGATACTAAACAGGAAGCAATAATTAACCGCACGAATTAAATTTTTACAATTTTGAAACACTTTCTTCTCTTCCCAAACTTGTCTTTAGAGAAAAAAAAAAAAAAAAATTCTGTTCGGTTGCAAAAAAAAGTAAAATAAAACAGTAAAATAGTGATTTCGCAATACGGAGTCGAGCTGATTGAGTTAAAATTAATTGAAACTAAATTGACATATCCAGGATCACGAGAGAAGAAGGAAATCTTCGCACCCTAATCGTAATCTTGCGAAAGATGAATTCGAGAGAGCTGCTCTGCGCCTCCGAGGGACACCTCTGCGGAATATTCTCGAGCATGCGCTTGATATTAACAACGGCGCGTTTGACACTCCGCGTTGATTACACCGCGTGTAACTGGCAGGATAATTTAACTTGCGCTACATTCGCCAATGACCCATGATGAAACAAACGAAAACGCGAGTGTCACGCGCTCGTTTACGGCGCGGTGAAATCACAATCATGTTACTCCGGCCGTCTTAAGCAAGAGGAGACGGTATAAGCCGCAGTTAATAACTTCACAAGCTCCAGAGGAGGGAAAGTCCGTCGCACAAATTATGTCCTTGTACTCCGTCACGGCGGTATATACAACGGGGAATTGCTGTTAACACCGTCGAGATAACCGTTGGAACCACTGCAGAGGATGAATTGGTTCTGAATTGGAATCCGAATAAAGTAATTTAATCTTCAAAAATTTGACATCACGCGCCGATCACGAGACTTTTCCTCCTATTCCCCCGGAATTTCGGGATGAACATGTGTTCATTCACAGCAATGCTCGTTATTCCTCTAACGGCAACATTTCGCCGACGATGCTTCATGATTAACCTATATTTTTTTCGACAAACGTTCAACGTTTAACGTATATTTCTGCGCCGACAATAATGAAAATGTGCGCGGAACGTGCGTATAATCCGTCAGTATTTCTAAAAAGGTGAATTTCGCGGCTTGCGTCGCAAGATAATGCAGAGATATATATATATATTCGTTTTACTCCAATTAATATATCATGCATGCATATGGTGCGGCGTCAAAATTGCCCGCGCGAAATGGAGACGCGCGTCGTACGTTTGCATGTGCTTATGCGACCTCGTCGGCGCTTCCATCCCGGCGTGGTGGAGATGATATTTTTGCAATTAAGCCCACCGACGAGAAACCCGCTGAAATTCCTCGGCGGCGCGTGATAATTCGCTTTCAGTGAGCGGCCACGTGCACGATATCGCGCGTAACACCGTCGTCTCCGACGCCGGGAATCATATAATTCACGGGATCGAATCCGATCTCGGGAATCCGAACGAGCGAGCGAGCGAGAGAGAGAGAGAACTGATCGGAATCCCCTCTCCTTCGTTGTCTCTTTTTTTCTCCTCTTCCATCGGCATCGCGATTTTCCACTTCGATTGCTCGCGCACGAAACAAAGTTGGCGCGCACCGTTTGTTTTCGTAAGCGCTGTTTCCCATCGTAAACTAAAGGGGAATCAAAATAACAGTGATTCCTCTGGCGGCCTTTATACGCGGCGGTTAGTTTCGATTAATCTCCCGCGAACGTCGAGATTTTTGCGTCCGTTATTCCGACGACGCAATCAAAAGACCGCTTCCGATACACTGTGTGGGGAAAAAACGCAAAAATACAGCATCGCTTGAGAGGGAGAAAGAAAGAGGGAGGGAGGGGGAAAGGGAGCGATGGGGAGTGGGCGGTGAGCAAGGTTTCGAATGTGGATATCAAGCGAGTTCGAATTGATCGATTTGCGCGTGCTGGACCGTGCATGCATATACGTGCGAGTTTTTGGGAATATTCCCCTACCCCTCTCGTCGGAAACGATTGTTTTGAATTGTTCTCGTGCAAATAGTTGTGAAGCGTTTTCGGTCGCAGTTTCCTAAATGTTTATCACGCGGCACGCAGCTAGCCCCCCGATGTTGATTTGTCACACGGTATTGTTGACACTTCTTTCGCGGTTTTAATAGATATTCGGTCGAAAACAGCGCGCAGTGCCGGCGGTGGCATATTGTTAATGTTAATTGGAACGGCTGACATTGTCTTCGTGCCATTATTGCCGAAAGCAATTATCGTAATAAATGCGGTTGCTTCTCTCTCTCTCTCTCTCTCTTTCTGTGTGTGCACGCGCGCATGTACAACGGTGGCCAAATATTTCAACGATAACCGCGCGACGCTTTGTAATTTTCGTGCAAAGCGCGCGACGCGTTAATTAAATTCAAGGATATGCCCATGGAAACGAGACAGCCGTTTCGGGAAACGCGAGATTTTCGTCGTTAGATGAGAAATTGCGAGAACGGCTGCTGGGCGAACCAGCTTCAATCTCTCTTTATCTTTCGCCTCTCTCGGCTGTTTTTTTCTACCCTCCGTTTTTCACCGAGATAATTAGGCGCATTCAGATGAATGCCGGAAATCCTTTCGCCTACCCGTGTAACGTCAGGCTGAATCCTGCACTCGTGCTTCGGCTAATTTTTCGTCCGCCGACGTCGCGCTCGTCCTCCCCCGGCTTCTGCAAAAAATGCTAATCTTCCTTCTCTTTTTCCCGCTCTTTGCCGACTCTCGGCGGACTCGTGAGATGCGTGAGATTCTTTGTTGTTGAAACGAAAATGTAAATCTCCAAATATTGTTCAGTATATTTTTAAGCCGCTTGTGTTTTACAGAAATATTACTCACGCCGTATTTAGAGATCTTTCACGTACTTGGGCGCATTTTTCATCTTTGCATCTCGTAAAGGTATTTTGTCGGTATATTAAATACGTCGGCATGAGTATTATATTAATATTAAATGCAGTGGCAGATATTACACTATTATACTATTATATATTAAATATAGTAGTAAATGTTATGTACTATATTTTGGATATATAGGGTGACCTGAAATTGGACCGACACACTTTCGCTCACAAAGGATATAAGATTATAAGAGTCGATATAGAATAGTAAGTACAATAAATATCTAAGATATATTGTTGGCTTTTCGCGGGAGCGCGTGTGTTACGATGATGAATAAGGGACGCGCCCATATCGACTGTTCCCGCTGATAGTCACGCATTTCATCGGGTGTTTATACACGCGTAGAATTCCATTGCGCGGAGGATTGGAGATGCGAGTGTAGTTGGTTATTAATTTTGACCATGAAAGGTTCACAACGCGAATCCCGCCTAATGTGCGCCCGTATTATACATATTCGGGAATTACTGCATACGGGCATGCATACGCGTGCGCGCTGTCCAAAACCTATTTAGCTAGATTAAATCAAT